GAGAGAGAGAGAGAGAGAGAGGGAGAGAGAGAGAGAGAGAGAGGGAGAGAGAGAGCAGACTGCAGGCCAGCGAGGATCAGATGACACCCGCAGGCCACCAAACCTGATCCGGGGCCCTGAACCGGGGCTCTCCGCTTACACCAGCGCGCTTATTCTTCGAAACACTGAGCACTGGGTCCCTGTGTGTTCGAGAGAGAGATTTTACTTGCTACTCACATAACAACCATGCTTTTGGACAATAGTGAAACCGTGCTAGAGCACTGCAGATGAAAAGTGCCCAGCAAACACAAATGGGTTTTGCTTTTTTTACAGCTTTTAACTGTAACGACGTTTTATAAACCACACCTGAAATTAAAAAAATATTATTATTATTATTATTATGGGAATATTATTATTAATATAATATCATCAAATGAAAAAAATGATAATATTATTAATAGTAATGATGTAACCAAAATGAATAGATGTTAATGGAAGTTCCATGGTGTTCTTTAGATTACTACTCATTTCAGTATATATTTCAGTATATATTACAGTATATATTACAGTAGCATGATTTTACTACCAGCTGTTTCTGGAAAAACTTTACACTAAAGCTGTTTTGTTTTAATAATGCATAAATAAATATTTAGTTTGTAGTAACCACATTGCGTGACCCGCCTCGGGTAGCCTCTCTGTAGAATAAAGCAGAGTTTCTAGAAGACTGGTGTATTGGACGTCTTCATCTTAATCAGAAGTGCTGTTCACTTGTGTTTATAACACATGCTGCGGCAGTCTGAGGGACGCTATCTCTCCGCCGGGCTCCAGCCTCGCATTCCTGCCGGAGCCGGAGGAGGAGGAGGAGGAGGAGGAAGAGGAGGAGGCGGGTGTCGGGTGTCACCTCCTCCCTGATCTCCTGCGCTCCTCTCATTGTCCCGCGCCGCGTCAGATTCGCGTGACAGCGCCGCTCCGCGAGTCATGCTCGAGATGGAGACGGGGCGTCCGGCGGAGAACAAGCGCAGCCGAAAGCCTGCTCACCCCGTGCGGAGAGACGTGCGCCAGGAGATGAAGGTGAGGGAGAGAGCTGCTGCTGCTGCTGCTGCTGCTGCTGCTGCTTTACAACTACTCGCTGCTTCAGTTATTAGTCGAGAAGCCTGATGGGAACGCAGGGTAACTAGCGTCCTCATATGCTGCCCACACTGGATACATGTTCTGTTATGTATCATAATTCGTTTTTAAAAAACGTGTTATTTTTGTGTTATAAATATAAAAAAAAGTACTGTAAACTATTTGAAATGTCATAAAATATTTTATATAAAATATGACAAGTAAAATATATTTAATATAAAAAATATGTAATATTTTTACAAACATTAAAACATATTTCATAAGAAATGCTGTGTACATGGTGTAATTTGTTAATATTTAATATAAAAATAAGGTATTTAATAAAAAATATATGATATAGAAATCATATATACGTTAAAAATAATATATTTAATATAAAATATAAAAAAATATTTAAAAAATAAACTATTTAATATAAAACAGCAATTTCATAAACACAGGAAAAATTTATATTTTATTTATTTGAAAAATAAATATTTAATATAAACTATTAAAAAGTACATATTTAATAAAAATATTGAATTTAAAAATAAGAAAAATTCAATATATTTAATAAAAATATGA